CTTGCTCCCCGTCGCGAACGCGCAGTGGCCAATCGACTCCTGCACCACCACCGTCGACCCGGGGTGCCGCGCGGTCATCTTGTACGCATTCCTCAACGGCGTCACGGGGTCCAGCCTCGAAGAGAGAAACAGTAGCGGCGCCGCAGGCTTACCCTCCACCACCGCCGGATCGTGCGGCGGCGTGCTGAACGGGCCCGTGTACCGCCACTTCGGCCGGACATCCCACGCCGAGCAGGCGACGCGGATCTGCGACCAGTACCCCGCGAACGTGGGCGACTGGCCGACCAGCTCCGCAACGTACGCGGAGAACGCCGCCAGTGTCAAGTTGGTGTGGTCCTCGGCGTCGCCGCACAGGATGCTCTGGCCGCCGTCGCCGAAGGTTGAGGGCAGCGCGGTGCCGTTGGGCGCGGCGCAGGCCTGGTCGAGCTCGGGGATTGACTCGACGGCGTCGTTGAGGAGGAGGGTGTAGTTGCCGTCTACAGCGGCGCTGAGCTTGTCCGCGAGGGGGACGAACTTGCGGTAGGGGTCGTAGAGGGGTCTCTTGAAGGCGTCGACGACGTCGTAGCCCGTGAGGATGTGGGTTAGCTTGCCGTCGAGCACGGAGATGGGCTCGTCGTTGAGACGCTTGACGAGGTCTGATACTCGCGATCGGATGTCCTCCCATTCCGTATCTGAGTGGCGGTAGAGGGCGCACTTTGATTCTGCGGTGAAGCAGGTCTTGTAGAATTGTTCGAGGAGCTCCTCGGTGTCTTGAAGGTTTGTCCTCCAGCCCTGTCAAATGAGGTCAGCAATCTTGCTCCCAACCATCATTGTGATACGCGATGGACTCACCCCTTCGACGTAGTCATCAGCATCCACGATGCCATCAAGGATGACTCTGCCGACGCGACCGGGATACATCGACGCAAAAGTGTTTCCAAGAAGACTGCCGTACGAAAACCCAAAGTACTGCAGCCGCAATGGTCTCTTGTCCTCACGAGCCTGCAGCGGCTTCTGCGCATCGCCATCCCCACCACCCCGGGCGGTAGCAGCCTCCTCGTCACGCAGCTCCTGGATCTTATCCAAAATGTGAACCATGTCCCGAACAGTCGACGCCGTCGTCGCAAACGGGATAATCGACCCATTCACCGCGCTCTGCGAGCAAAGCTTCCCATAACCTTGGACCCTAGCCCACTGCCTCCTCAACGCATCCGGACCAGCACTCATCGGTCCCACGGCCAGCTTCTGAATCATATCGGTGCCGCGCGCCAGGCTGTCTTCACCATAACAATCCGGCCGCGGGGTGGTGAACTGCACGCCGCGCGGGTCCCAGCTGAGGATCTCGTACTTCCTGCGGTCGGAGTCGGCGGTCTCCTGGTGGGCGTAGCCTTCTGAGAGCATGAGCTCGACCCCGGAGCCACCGGGCCCGCCTGGGTTCGTGAATATGGTGCCGCCGAACGCCGGGTCCGAGTCGGGCACTTTGGCCGGGCGCTTGATGATGGCGAGAGTGACGTTGTACGGGTTGGATGCGTCAAGCCAGTCGAGGGGCACGATGAGGCGCGTGCAGTTGTACTCGGAGTAGCAGGGGTGGTATGAGAGCTTGTGCGTGGGCGTGATGGTGTCCCAGTCGAAGTCGTGGAGTTTGTGTTTGCTCGCTGCGGTGGCGGCGCCGAAGAGGCCGGCTATGGCCAGGTGGGTGAGCCAGCCCATATTGAGGGTTGTAAGTTTGATGCCTGAAATGAGCGCCGTGAATTGTGGACTGTTTTTGATGAGATTTCAGCGTGGGTTGATGAAGAAGGGATGAGATGCGGAAGAGGAAAAAGTGCCAATTGGTGCGGGCGCTTCGCTTGGCTTCGGGTGGCTGCCGCGGCTGTGTGAGAGTGATCGATCGATTTCCCCAACCACGTCGCTCATGCAAGCCTGGATTTTATCTTATCGCCCTGCCGTTACACTATCAGTTAGTCGAATTGAGTTTGAGATGGGCGGTGGTGTTGAGATGAAGAAGGGGGAACATGTGGTTTTCAAGTAGGTGTTCAATGTCAGCAAGGAATAAAATGATCCCGACATAATCATTCAGGCAAGTAATGATCTTACGCCGCATGGTCGCGTCCACATCGGCCAAGCGAAATCAGGAAGGTGCTTAAGCATGTAAGAATTGGCGACTCTCGTCATTGCCTATGAATCTCAACTATGAAATGACGAGTCAATCTACTTTCATCAACCAAGAGCAAAACTCGCAACGCTGTGAGAATAGATACACTCGAGCTAGCATCGTCATGATCACTGCTGCTTGGCGTCGCCAACACGAATGATCAATGACCCAACGCCTGTCCCGCTCGCCCACTGGCGATGCGCGTCCTGCACATCCTCCAGATCCCACACCTTCTTAATGGGCACTCTGATCTTGCCCTCGCCCAGCAAGCCAAACATGGCCTTCAGGTTCGGCTCAAACGTCGCATCATCGCGGGTGATGTAGTAAAACCACGTGCGCTTGGGACAGAACGGCACCATGCCGCGCGCCAACAGCTTCATCGTGGGCACCACCGTCGACCGCGGCGCCTTACCATCCCCGCCGAGCGAGTTCAAGTTGCCCCCAAACCCGATCAGCATGCCGCTCTTGGACAAAATCGTCCAGCTCTCGTCCCAGCTCTCGAAGCCGAGCGGGTCAAACACGGCGTCCGCGCCGCCCATCTCCTTCATGGCCGCCATCCAGTTCTTGTCCGTGTACACGAACGGGTGGCCGCCCTCGGCGCGGACGGCGGCGTGGTTGCGCTCCGACGCCGTGCCGTACACCTCGGCACCCTGCAGCTGGCACAGCTTCATCAGCGCGAAGCCGACGGCCCCGCTGACGCCGTGGACGAAGACGCGCTGGCCCTTGGCGACCTTGGCGTGCTCGTGCACCATGGCGTACGCGGTGCCCCAGTCGAGCACGAGCGCGGTCGCCTGCTGCAGGTCGAGCCCGTTGGGCACGCGGACGAGGTACTTCTCGGGGATGTTGACGAGCTCCGCCTCGGCGTCGTACACGGTCATGGCGGCGACGGTGTCGCCCGGGTAGAACTTGGAGGCGCCGGGGCCGTTGGTCTTGACGGTGCCGACGAGGCAGTAGCCCGGGGTCAGCGGAGCCGATTTCTGGAGCGGGTAGACGCCCTTGCGCATGTTGATGTCGGCGCCGGAGAAGCCGGAGTAGATGGTGGCGATCTGGACGTGGTCGGCGGCGGGGGCGTCGATGGTGTCTTGGATGACCTTGACCTTGGACTCGTCGCCAAACTCGGTGATAACGGCCTTGCGGATGGTGGTGGATGCCATTGTGAGTGTGTTGGTTGGTGGTGTGCTGGGTTGGTCTTGAGATGATGATCGATTGAGATGATGTTGCTTCAATTCTGATCCTTTTGCTTGCTAATGATTCTAATGACCCAGTATCTTGAAGACATAACTGCGAAGTCGTTCTCTTTATACTTCAATCCCCCACACGCCGTTCACATACAGCTAGGCAGATGTCGGATGGTGATTCCATCGTCCGCTTCCAACACGCCGTTCAACACTACCAACCAGCGTCCCAAACAACGCCTCGCAAGGCGTCTTTGGCCCGACCCAGCGCCATCTCGGCGCAGGAGCGCATGGATTGACGCCACGATGAGCTTGATTGCGCCGCACGCCGGAGCGACCTTTTGGTGGTGATCCGCGTGTTGGAACTGTGTTGGCTGGCTATGTTCCCAGGTTGGCCATGTCCGCTGTGCCGTGTGGCTGCAGACAACAAACGGGGCCCGACAGACACTGCAAATGAAGAGTTGCGCCGACTGGGAGGATTCGCGCCTTTGGGGGCGCGCTTCGCTCTTTAGCCGGGAGGACTTTGGGCCGCCTCGCTTCGCGCTTGAGGTCCCCCAAGCAATTTCGACAGCGCCTCCCCCTCATTGTCCGGATGCAGTAAAGTCTGTCTTCCGTCAAGCTACGCACGCAGGACCGGTGCAATGTTGGACCACCTGTGACGAGTACAGGGCTGAACACTAGCGACGAACGGGCCGCTGGCGTTTGTTGCTGGAAGACTGGCGTTTGGGAATAAGCTTCGTGGTGGCGTCGTCAAACGGCGTCAATGTTTGAACGCTGAAGCCATTGGGCTGCAGTAAGATATTGGTGAACTGTAGCGCATAAACGCTTGAAGATGAGCCAAAAGTTCCAATCAGTCAGCTGCGAAATGTGGTAAATCAGGTTTGCGCTTCATTGCCAATTTTGCGCCGAAAACTAGTGGATGGGTATTGGACGTCTTCCAAAGTCAACGTTTGTCATTCAAGAGTTGAGTGACCTCTGCTGTTTAGCAAGGTCTAGGGAGGCTAGCCCAGCTGTGAACCCGGCTTGTTGGTACCCAACTTCGCGCAGTATGCACACCTCACCGATCATGATCACCTTAGGAACATCACATTTTGTCCTCGATAATACTCAGTACCACCCAATATTTTTAATTCTTCCAGCCAGATTTGAATCTTTGCCCTTCTAACTCATGTGGAGTGAATAAGGCAATCGTGCGATGTTTTGTGTCGTATTGCGCCCATCCCATGTCCTGCAGCTCATTCATTGTACCTGGGGATCATCTAACCACATCTTCCTCAGAAGCAACGATATGGGACAAGTGGATATGCTGGTGAATCAAATATGGAACAAAATCCCAGTTAGTAGCTAATACGGAGTTATTGATTCCAGCAACAGCACCGGCAGTTGACAGCATGAAAGCTCAAAGCCGGAACGTCGTACACATGATCGTAGCCGTCCATAACTGATGTTGAACTTCGACCTCTTAGTATCAAAGGACACGGTACTAAGCGTCTCTCGGGGGTCACAAGATTAGAGGAGAGAATTAGGTTTATTTCTCATATGTAAATTTTCGCGAATTCTACCATAACTTGATATTCCGCCACCGTATTGCTGTTTGCCGCAGGCCGCCAGCTCTACTTGGCAAATATTACACTACTCTGATATCCAAGCTGTTCCAACGACACCACGCAGCTCTGCATCGAAACAAGGACGACTCACGTAAAGTAGCCCTCATCGTCAAAATTCTTCGGGCGCGATGGCTCCGGCCCCGGGGTCAGACGACGTTTTTTGTCTTCCTCCGAGGAGTATAGATACCAGGGGTTCCTTGGGCCACTCGCTTGCTTTGCGGCCTCCCGTCTCGCGTTGTCTGTTGCGCTGATGAAACACATCCACTCGTCCATCTGTTCGTTCATGACGAGACTGAGCGGATCACCGGCGAGCCAACACCACTCATCCCAGTCATGGTCGTGATCGTCTGGCCGGTTGAAAAGCTCCTTTGGCATGCGAGGTGTGTATTCGTCCTTCCATATCTCCTTGTCAGGTCGTAGGTAACTTCTCGACCAGCGAGTCGGATGCGGCCAAGGCGTATGTTCCCAGTTGTGACTCCCTGTATAGGGGAACAACTTGACTCCGTGCTCATCGGCGCGGCGAATGACGTCTTCGCGGTAGTGAGGGTTCATTACCTGGACAGCCATCTCCAGCTGCTGCTGCGTCGGTTCCTCGCCGGTTGTGAGCTCGTTGTACAATGGCTGGTAGCTTGAGGCGATGCATGCTAGAGTCACCTGGTGCCTGAGGTCAGGTCGTCGCCACACGAGCTCGCGAAGTGTGGTTTCGTGCGGGTGATGCGGCCACCAGAACAGCAAGGGAAGCTTTTCACCGTCCGTTTCGCTGTCGATACGCGAGAGATCCCCATTCATTATGGAACGCGCGTGAATAGCCTGCCAAACCTCGTCGCTATAGCTGGTGTCAGGAGGGACAATATCATCGACACACGTGGAAAGCCATCGTGCGAAGGGAGTATGGTGGTATACCCCGCGAAGGACGGCTGTCAGTTCGTTAGGGATCAACACAGGTCGCCTCAGTCGCGAATAGCGTTCAACGTTGCCGTTCCATGCGGCCAAAAGAATGAGGATGTCTTTGTTGAGAGCCGGAAGGTCGCGAGGCAGCGGCATGTAGGTGAGCTCGGTGAAGCGGGCCTTCAGTGTTGAGCACTCTGGTGTGGGCCACGATGATGGTCCGGCATGCTTGTCTTCTTGTATGTTGAAATAGTGACCGTCAGTGCGGGTGACATGGAACTTCTTCTTGGGTATTGGGCGTTCGAGTGAGGATCGGACAGCAGTGTCGCCGTTAAGGCAGGCTCCAGGCCTGGGATTCTCCAGTTCGACGGTTCGCGTGTAGTCATCCATGACAGCGTATCTCACGGGTTGGTTGACGATAGCGTCGAATATGTCCATATGGCCATTGTCTCGGGCTTCCTCGGCGATGGACACATCTGGCAGGAGATCAAGTTCGTCGTAAAGCGCCTTGTACCCCGCAGCAGCACAAGCACGCCCGACATTGTAATGCATATCTGGGTAGCGTTGAGCCAGGGATCTATACGTGTCTTCCGTGGCGAGGTCAGGATACCATATGCAGTACGGCTTCTCTGTCTCAGAAGACATCTGCGGGACCTCATTGCTCATAATGAGACGCGCATTGCGGGCTCTAGCAAATTCTCTTCCCTTTTCCAAGCAGAGCTGTTCAACTTTGTCGGATCTCGCGAAACTCTCATGATGTCGGATCCCACGAATAATGTAGCAATCTTCCACATCTAAGAAGTCTGCTGGGAGTTCTTTCCCATTGAAAGCGGCCAAGTCCATCGCCTTATAGTCTTTCGCGGGCGTTTCATCGCCTGTGTGGCTGGCTGTTTTTGTTGGCGAGGTAGACATCTGTCTGAGGGAATGGCAAAAATGCCGTAAAGTAAAGGGCAGAAGAGCACAGCCTGTCCGATGTTTGCTATATGGGGACTGCCCGCAAAATATGATCGTACGCTGCGTCGAGGATGTGCAGCGCGCGAGTCTCGAAACGGCGAAGCGACGACAAATAGAGAACGACATCTTATGCCCGAATGTACGTTACCATGCCAATATACACAGCTCAAAAGTGATCAAGAGTAACGAAAGGATAGCGTATTGTTTAGTCGAAAAATGAGGTTGGTGATCAGTAGCGGCAGGACACGTTGGGAGGTTCAACCCTTTTGAACTCAAAGCGAGAGCGCCATTGCCTGCTAAAAGTCCATATACCCCTGCTTGTTTACAGGGGTAAAGCATGACCTGATGGGCCGAACTATCCTAGTCATCTAGCAACAAGCTCGGAAGTCGATTGTCGAGGTACTGCACAGTCACTGAAAGGTACCAGGAAAAGGAACCGCCTAATTTTCGTGTGTCTGCGCGGCTTTATTTCCTGTGCATTTGCTTACTACTATCGAAAGCGATAGTAGCGACAGCGACGATAAGGACGAGGACAAGGACGACTATAACGATAACGACGTCAACAATAGAAGCGACGACGACGACGACGACGACGGTCGTGGAGTGATTAGAGTGTGGCCACAGTAAAAGTAGTCGCTCTAGCATAGGAAAAATAGGCGTTCTCCGGGTGAAGGGGGGTTGTCAATGGTGGGATGATTGCCCCGGCAGATTAGCTTGTTGCCTCATCGTCTTACAATCTTCAATGCCACGGAATAAAGCACAACTCTTCTGGGCTGAAAATTTGCTTTGGCTGACCTAGGTATCTAATTTCTAGGCACAAACGTTTACAATCTTTTGGATCTTTGCGTCCTGGGCAACGAAACTTTCGCCAAACAACTTGATCTTGTCCGCAGAAAGAGCCCTTCTCGCCGCCGCCGCTTCTGCGATGGCCTGTGAAGACGTTCGCTCCGACGCGCCGCCATAGGGTCCAATAAGAAGCGACAGAACGGCAAAAGGCGCCGATACAGGATCACTCACAATGCTTTCAATGGTGAGGGCAGTGTTCCCGAATTCCCCAATAACTGCCGCAATACGAGCCACCATGGCGGCGCCGCCAAACGCAGCACCCACAACCTCGCCAGCGAATGGCAGAACGAACAGGACAATGGAAAGGATCTCGAGCACAAGTCTTTTCTTCAGGAGGTCGCGCTGTGCGGCGCCAATACGTTTAATTTCCTTCATGTTCTCAATGACGCCCTCGAGCATCAAAACGGGCATGGCAACGGCCGTCACCATGTCACCTGTATCATCAGCGTAGCCAAGGCCTGCCATGACGTACATATTCAAGACGCGCATAGACAAGTCGCTGATCGATGGCAACGCTGCCTCAATGACGTCCTTGGGGTTTGACACCTTGACCTTGTTGCTGCTGACAGGGAGACCCTTTTTGTAAAGTTGGGCTTCACGGCAGTGGACCTTCGTCCCCGGGGGGCGCCAGTCAGGTGCATCGACGCACTCACCGATTTGATGCCAATCGCCGAAGGAAATCCAGTCCTTCTCAATACCGAGGTCTTGTTGAACAGCAGCGTAGAACCCATCCGGATCAGAAAGGGTGTAAGTCACAGACCATGACTCACTCTGCTGCCAGAACTTGTCCGCCGGAGGGCAGGGCCCTTCCCTTGTCCTGGACCGAACGGTCCAAGAGCATGTGAAGAACTCGTTTCCGCGCCCGGTATCGAAGTCCATATAAGACTCCAATTGAGGGCTGATCCTCTGCTTGACATAGTCGGCATAGTATCCAAAGACAGCATCGTAGCCGCTGAGAGCGTCCTTGTAGTCCGCCTGAAAGCTATCAAGAGAGTCGGAGAGTATGCGAAGGGCCCAAAGGTTTCGGCAGACAGGGTTGTAGGTATCGTCATTCATGACCTTGACCAAATCATCGAGAGTTTTGGGCCTGACACTCGGGTCACACGTAGTGTCGGCGGAAAGGATGCTGGGATAGACGTCGTCCTCTTCGATGTTGTACTCTGGGACAAAGTAGCCAGCCTGCCAGAGATCTGTTGCCTGGCCCAAGTCTGGATCAGCGCAGATCGACGGGCAGTGCCCACGCGCGCAATTGAACGCGCATAAGCCGTGGTCATTGGCGGTGCCGTCAAGATGGCGTTGCTTTTGCTCGTAGGCTCCATGAGATTGAGCGCCCCCTGTGCAGAACAGTAGCACACAGCAATTGGGCAGAAGCCATGAGAGCAGGCAAAAGAACATAGATTATCAAAATAAGTTGACGCGCTCATGGCCTGGCCACGCGTGCATGTGCCCGGTAGGAATGGCGATACTGTGGCGATGACGGTAGGATGCTCAACTGTGTCACAGGAAGAGCCGGGGCAGAATCCCCAATTGCAAGAATTCTGACAGAGCCCTTGGTAGTCGCTTGTTTTGCCAGCTGCTGGATACGCCGTGATGCCCTTCCATTTGGGCTTTTCGACCTGCGCTCCTAACTTTGTGCAATGACATGCACCCTCCGGACAGTAGCCGTAGCCAAATGTGAATTCGCAAAGAGTCGCAAAACCGGGAAGAGGTCCTGTACCCTCAACACAGACCTGGTCTGTACGGGAGTGTGGCTTGGCTGAGATGGAGCCTGCTGCAGTGGCACTGCCGACCCAGGCATTCCAGTTGTTGTAGCCATTGGTCTTGCTGCAGTCTGTGGTGATAGCGATCCCGGCTACTTCAGCAATAACTGTGCCACCGCGAACAACACGAATATGGACTTCGCCTGTCTGGTCGTAGTACCAGGCATTCCCATGGTAGAGACCAACGCCTCCTTCGGGTGTGGCCGCCCAGGAAGCCTTCTGCTGAACCCCTCCGACAGTGACCTCGATAGTGGCAGACGATGCGAGCAGCGCTGTGAAGTAGATGGCGTCTTTAGCTACGTTCCAGGGATGAAACTCGAGCTGCAACTGCGACGCCGTATTACCGGACGTGCCGCCGTCTTTGCAACTTGTTGCGGGGTTGGGTCTGTACCAGGCTACCAGACGCTCTGAATCGACTGTCGTCGTGTTGTACTTGTACATGTCGATGGTGAATGGAAGTGTATCCCGCCAGCCATCATGTGGCAGAACGAAATTGAAGGGAGCTTTTCCAATGGTAAAGGCCTCGAGAGAATTATCTCGCACAGGTCCAATATGGCGTGATTCGCCGTAGTCGTTCCACGAGATAATCTGGACAAATTCGGGACGCCACCAGAGAATCTGTTGCCACCGGTCGAACCAGAGGTCATCCCCTCGCCACATCCAGTTCTTTTCATAGCCAGGAAGATTCGTGTAAAACCATGGAGACGCCGCCATCATGTAGGGCTTTCCGCTGAGGTACTGCTTATAGGACGCATCTACGTAGGTGTCCATACTTTGGTCACCCCACGGCCAGGCCGCCCAGCTGAAGAGGCCATCAGCAACGCCATTTGATTTAGCCATTGCTGGCTTCGCGCCAAGGGACGACCAATCGGGGATGAAAAAGCAACCGGTGGCTGCCTTGATCTCGACCCAGTCTTCGGCATTGTCAGGGCCCTCGAACGTCGACACAAATGGTTTACCCTGGTAGTGGAAGTAGGTGTCAGAGCCAGCATACTGATTAATCAGGCCCTGGACAACGCTTTTAGGCCACGGTCCGTTCCCAGCGTAGTCGAACGAGAAGAAGAGCTGAAACCCCAGTGAAGACGCGTGTTCAAACGCATCGGCAATAGACCTCTCATTCGTTGGTCTCCATAGGCCATGTTGAGTGCGAAGGCATCAATATGAGCCGCTTTGGCCTTGGCAATGTCATCGAGCCAGTCATCGGCTGTGTAGTTGGCAGAGTTGGTGATCATGAAGTGGGCGAAGACAGCTTGGGCTTGAGCCAGTCGCGCCCAGGCAAAGATGCCAACCAGAAGAGATAGAATTCTCATTGCAAAAGTCAGGGGGTAGATGTGAGCAAACGAAGATACGATAATGGTAAGTTTGAGCGTGTAAGAAGAAAATGACGGCAGGAGCGCGGCTACTTGTGCAATGGAAATACCTTCCTCAGAATATGGTCCGACATGGAATTTTAACGTGCATTTCGAACCTAAAAAATGAGGTTCAACTGCAATTAGATCTTTGTCCGTTTCTAAGTCGGCCTGGCCTGCTGTAGGCGTGAGGCCGTGTAAGCGGATCTCAATGGCGAAGTCTCTTCCATTGGTCCGCACAAGCGGCACCGACGGAATTGGCGGGGCCAAGATACCACTCATGGATGCTCAAAGTCCCTAGGGCGACGTCGCATTCTGTTCATCTTCCAACAGGTTGGTGCAATTAAACACGCGGGTGGATAATGGATTGGAACGTCCTCCAACAACCAACAATCACCTGCCACTGCGCGCGGTTTTGCCCGCAACCGACACATTCTTGTCTGCTCAGGCCATCCGTCAACTCGGACTCCACTTTCTACCCGCCTCAGCCGCCTGGGCAATCTTTAAAATCTCTTTGGTTCAGGGGTTCCCGAAGCTTAGCAATGAGATGGACCCTTGTCAGGGCACAGTCAAGCTTTAGACCCCGGTCGAAGAAGTCTCTCACATCCGACATCTCATGAGTCAAATGAGCGAATGACCTGCATCTTCCCACGACTGGCCTGCCTAATGTGTACAATCCGCCCGCTTGAAATGCAGTCTGCAATCTGTGTTGGTTCTTGTCTTAAGCCTGGAAGCTCCGCAATTGTGACAGGCTGTTGCCCCCGCTGCAGGCTGCAGCAACTCAACATGCAGGCCGAAGTCCATGGGTTGCAAGAGAAGTGCCTGATTGATGGTTTTACTCAGGCAGAAGCCTCACCTGCGGCGTGAACAAGACCTCTAACCTAAATTGTACTTGAACCGGCCCTGGATCAATGGATCATGTTTCTTGGCTGTCACATTCAGCAAACACCAGCCGGCTCGCGGCTCAATTCCGAGCAAAGTCACCCCATAATAGCTCAGTCCTGGTAGTGGCTACTACATCAATGGAGTTCGGCTGGCGGCAAGAGCTCCTACCTCTCGCATGATGCGGTTTCCAATGTGCATCTGATCACAAGATGGACGGAGATGATGTCTGTTTCTCCGTTTAGAGTATGCCGGGTAATAGATGCCTGTTCTGCAACACCACTTTCGCTATTACTAACGGCCAAAGCAGAGATTTACCTTTTTTGAAAATGGTACAGCTGTTTGTCCTGTACATGACTACTACAGTTTCAGGGGGGATGGGTGGGTGTCTGATTGAAGCCACTGCCCCTCTACTGTTCCTCCTGCTTGGATGTGAAGTTCTGCTGTGTTCATAAAATTACTGCCGAACTTGACTTTTCCATGGCAAATCTTTTCTCGGATGTGCCGTCAGGAAAACATCTTATTTTAAGAAACAATTTCTGCTCCGAATTCTCTACCCATACGCCTGCGAACACATCCTCTATTCTTTTGAGAATCCCCGTCGCCTCTTGCTCTCAGTACTCCTCACGTCACCAGGTCTTAGCACGACGACATCATGAAGTTCCTCGGTCTCTAACTACTTCTTTTTGGCCAGCTAGCCGTCGCTGCCGGTCCTTCTCACGCCTTTGAAACGGTCTTGTACTACATTGCCTACCGGCTGGAATGGAAGATGTACGGGCAGTCTCAGAGGCTGCTGTACCCTGTGAGATCTCCCATTCCGACCAAAGAAGGCGATCTCATCACGTTCCCCAAAAATGTCGGTCCAGATGGCAATATGCTGCCATTTCCCGACTTCGTCTGCAGGTATATGGACAATCCAAAAGCCAAGTGTAACGTCCAACTGGACCTCGACAATCCTGAGCGAACGGCAGAGTTGTTACTAGAGGAGGGAAACAACGGCGCTGCGAAGACCCCAGATATGAGGGGGGTTCCCCAAAAAGAGATGTACGAGATCAATGAGAAGAATGATGCGGAAATCTCACCCAAATTGAAGTACTACAACAGCTTCACCGAAGACCTCGCCCAAACATTCAATGCCGCCGCCAAGAAATACGGTACATCCACTTACAGCGAGGTCTACAAGGAACTTGCTGCTGTTGAGCCTCTTTTGAATCGTATTCTCAAGGTACGTTCAGAGGATATGCAGACAAAGCAAAATATTCGAAAGACTTTTGTGGAAGCCTTTATGAAAGACAGTACTTTCAAAAGCTACAAAGGCTCAGTGGACCCTGCGGATATGCTGAAGAACGCAAAGCTCTGGCAAGTAGTCAAGAAAAAGCTGGGAATGGATAATTATCCAGATGATGATCCTAGGATCATGAGAGGGTTAAAAGACTGGGTGGATGGCATAGGTGCTACATACACAGTCAAACCGCAGCCTCTATTTGGTATCGTTGCGTATGGCCACATCTACGCTCTGAAGGGCTGGGAGGGGATGAAAAGAAATCTCCAGTGTCAGCTGAAAAGCAAGAAGTAAAGTTTTCATGTAATTGGGTATCTTTGCCAGGTACAAAAGACTGCGTACATAGTTGATAATTTTTCCAAGGCTACCATGGCCTCAGGTCTGCTATAATACCTCATTGTGAACACTGTGGAAGGTTGTGAAAACACCTTTGTCTAGGCCAGACGGAAGGTCAAATTAAGCACCAGACTCCTTTCGCCCGTCTTTGACTCCTGAGGAATGTTGATCAGGTGAAAGGTTTTGCTAGGGGCTCGACCCTTCTGCAGTAGCCGAAGACTAACCTTCGGCTTCGCGTCCCGTTGGCCTCATACTTTCTGTTAGTTTTTGTGGTTGGCGATCCATCCGCCGGATGAATGGACACATCCGCTCGAACGAGAAGGTCCCTTGCCCCTGCCTTGCCCACACTGCGGGAGCCTTTACTGTTCGCGTCCCCACAAAGAACCAACAGAAATTCAACCCCAGTCGAATACGCTGTGGCCAATTTCGTCCAACAGGGGCAATCTGCCTACCTGAATTCTGCAGCAACTATGATTGCCATCGCAAAGGGCAAGTTGTACTCGGGGTGGGGCGTTTTGCCCAGCTGCTCTTTAAGATGCATGCTTGACATGCGAACCAACAACGCCGAGGGTATCGCTGTAGACGAGAGGTACCACGAAGTACTCGACTGTCGCTCCAGGATTCATTCCGTAGCTTGCCAGGAGGCCTGGCTGGTCCTTCGCGACAGATCCGTTGAAAGTCGTGTGGTACACTAACGGGTCGCGGACCGCAGAAGAACTTTTGTCTCGGCTGAAACGGGACACATCACCGAGATTCTTGGCAAGGGATATCGGCGGCGATTCTGCCGACATAGTCGAGGCATCAACGTAACCACAGACAGCAGTTCTGGCTATAGGCATTCGTGATAATGCCTGCGGTATATGACTCCTCCTTAATTGGTGCTTTCTTCCTGTTCTTTTCTCCTAACTTTTGCTCCTGATCATCCTGAGTGAAAAGTTTTCAACACGCTCTTTCTTTCCTCGGCATACGATTCTGTATTACCTGTTCCAGTTTGGTATCATGATGAAATGTTGCTCTCTTTTGGCTTTTCTGACGGCAGCCCTTGCGGCCACCGATGATTCTATGGCGTACATCTTTTTCGAAAACCAGGAGTTTCTTGCTAATGGCTCCAATGTTGCTCGCATTTCCTGGAGCGAGGTTGAAGGGGCCTTCCAGCACCCTGACCAGGCTGACCTCGCGACATTTGGCGGCCTCGACTGGACGAAACCATATCCGGGCTCTTCAGTTGACGGATTCGAGGCTCATCTTCGTATTGCCAACGATGTCCCATGGCCGGACTCCGTCGGCAAGAATCTGACAACTGAGGTCACTGCCCTCACCTTTGGTCTTCCTGCCGCCTTGATGGACCCAGGCAAGACTTTGCCTCTGCCAATGGACCCTACGTGGTTTATTTGCCGTCACTACTTTGTTAGCGCTCGACCGGATCCTACGGAACAAATCGATCATGCTTGTGGCTTCCTGTCTGCGGAGTGTCGCGCCGATTTGGAGACAAGCCTTACGGGAAACTGGTTCCAGGAGGACCCAGACGTTCCTTGCTCGGCACTGATTCTCGATCCTGTGCCTGTGAGCTGCCAGGGCACACTTGGTCTTGTCCGAGGTGATGCTATCGGTGAGCATACCGTCGATTGTGCCGTTCTACAACCAGTTTCCTAACCTCTCAATTTCACAGCTTTGAACTCGGAATCCCTGCAAGATGCTTCCATCGCTACAGCCTATGTCACAGATCAGATCACAGACTGGTCGTGGATGATTGGCACCGGTGCCGTGGATGAAGGCAACACGACCGCCTACTATGACGCGTCGAATCGGACCTTCATCATTGGTACTGTATTCGGATACAGCTCTAGCGTTGATGAGACTAAGAGGCAGACTCCAAAGCTGTGCCTTGCCTGCCTCCGTCCCGAATGGGTTCCTCCTTCAACCCCCAACGTCACATCTGCTGTCCCTCCCTATTCCTACCCGCCTCAGACAACAAAATCCGCCACGACGACTACTGCCCAATCATCCCAGCCGGCGACCACCGCGCCATCCGGTCCTGCCTGTGTTTCTGGAACGGTATCACCTTACCGCACTAGCGGCGACTTCAAGAAGCTGTGCGAATTCAGTTGCACCTATGACTATTGTCCTCCGACGGCGTGCCAGTGTCTTGAGTACGCTGACACAGCCAAGGCTAGCCCTCCTGTCGTAGACTCTGACGGTTGTCCCCTTGACGGCGTCACTGACGATGAGTATGTACATTTGTGCAGTTTTGCGTGCAGCCACGGGACCTGTCCAGAGGCAACATGCAAGCTCTGCTGATCTGTGTTGACTCGACGCTTTGTTAATGAACAGACTAGCCGATAATTTCACTTCGTCCTGTGTCTGAGTAATAGTAAAGATAGAAGAACAATGAAAACACATGTATGCACCATTGAAGACGTGAAAAATGCGAATACTGTGAGATCAGAATTCAATCCAAGTGGGATGAGCAACTTTTCTAGTCAGACCTAAGTAAAATGATTATGATTCGACCACATGAACCATTTTCGTAGTTTGATACAGAAGCACCACACCAGCAGGATTTCAACAGTCAATCCATAGTTCAGATCACCTGGAATGATATTTCTGGTTGTTACATGAATATCATAAGCCCTGATCCCAGCTTGTGTCTTTGGCTCCGCAATGGTCTCGAGGAAGGCGACTCCAAGCTGGCCGTCTTAGGCATATCACTTGGGCAAGTATCAGATGACAGAGCATTAGCCATATGTGGTGAGATGATACTGTGTCCAATGTCCAATCTTACTATGTGGAATATCTATCGTTGACATCCAGGTAGTAGTACGGTCATGATTCCAGACTGAAGATAGTTAGTTCCTATATTCCATCATCTTTGTGATGCTTAGTGATTGTACACTACTAGTAATTAGTGAGGGACCGTAGGATAAGTTTACGATACACATTTGCGGGGCGATTATTTGTATACGCCCGCTTCTTAATTGTGAGAAGATCATGAATATCCATGGATATGGTCAACGGCGGAGAATATCACACACATGATGGAGTACACTCCAGCGATCCTAGGATCAGACAAGCATAAAGATACAGTACATCTTCAATTTGATGCGCATGTGTCGTTAGATACCTATCCAAGGAGCGGTTCGCGACAACTAGCCTCCTGGAAAGGAAATTAGTCCGTTAATGAAATTTTGTTAATTCTCCAGATTTCTCAGTCCTTTTATACCGGCGTTTGATCTACAGCCCCTTTTATTCTGATATCATATTGAATTCGAGGCGTTAGATACTCTTTCCTAGAAGGTAAGCTTCAATATCCACTCCCTTAGATCTTATCCACTTAATAGCAATATTATGACCAGGTAAACTTCTATTCGCTATACCTTAGACAGGAAGTAGACATTTATGATACCGACCGCGAACTCACCATGCTTCGTCATCACACAGTCTAACTTCTCTCTCTCGTAAGGCCCCTCAACACCTGATTCTCAAAAACCTAACTGTGAGGTTGGAATATTTCCAAGTTTCATCTTTGAATTTCACGACACAGCTCTGGATTGTCCTTACTCTCGCAAGTTGTGGCCAAACTTTAAGAACTTCAAAATGCTCGTCGGCACTCGCAGATCGGCCTTTTTGATCAATTTGATGTCGAATTCGAACCTAGCAACTGAGTGCCTGCGTGCTACCCGCTCCCACGCGATGAACATCGCAGGATCTCGCGGCTTGACTCTCCAAGTGGCCCCCACTGTGAGTAAGCCGATGCCTTCAATAATCTCATACCTGAAGAAAAAGCCCTCATGTATACCCGGGGCCCATACTTCCATAGCCTGTAAGCATGGCATATAAAAGGCTGCTTTAGCAGCGGCCAACAAGACTTGCTCAACCTTTGCTGGACTCGCAGCTAGACCCTGAGTTTGACAGCTGAGGACTAGATATTTGAGTGTTGATCTGGATGAAATCCCGAGACTCCATATTTTGCTAGCGGCATCATGGAAGCATCGCAGAAAACTTGTTGCGTCTATTGCATGGGAAATTGCCAGCGCTTCCAGTTTGAAGCTCGTAATCGTCGCTTCAGAAGTAAGTTCGTTATTCGATGTCTTAGAATAAAGTGTGTTTTCATGTAGTCTCCGAGACTGTGCTTCCCACAATGTGAGCGTGCGTAGGCTGGGGCAGCGTCTTGCGTACCGGAATAAAGAGGCGTTCGCATGCTCTCGTTGGCGCTGATCTTCCTCGTCCACACCCCGCCAAGGCTCATACTTAATGTCTCGCAGGCTCGGAAGTTTGCTGAATATACTCCTCAAGGAGTAAGATGACAGGCTTCGTAAACATTTCTGACTGATACTGAGTGCCCTGATCACAGTAACCTCTGGAAGGCCAGATCTACCTAATCGGAGTTCAAGAAGCTGGCCTAAAAGTCGCTTCTTGGCATTCAATCTCGAGTGTCCAGGCGACTGGGCGATAACCTGGCGCTTATGATCCCGAAAAGACGTCTGATGATGCATGGGATCGCTCGGAGAGCTAGCGCTGAGCTCTAGCATGACATCGGCTTCTGGACCCTTTACCTGCCCTGGCCAACTAGAGAGCACATTGAAAAGGTTTAGAAGGCTGTCGGAGAAAATCTTGTTGTTATCTGCCTTGGTCTCCGCGCTTTCTTCGTGGCCGCATTGTTGGCATGTGTACTCTTGCAAGCTCACATGAAGTGAAATCTTTCTGACCCAAACTTTCTTCGAGTGCGTGGTAAAGGCTTTGAAGCACTTTATATCAAACGGCATGTCTGACCTGAGCTTTATTGTTCTCCAGAGCCGAGAGGTGAAAAACTTGTACCAATCCATCGATACTGTAGACCAGCGTGCAAAAGGACTCTTCCCAGCAGTTGGTCCTAGCTGCCATAGTTCTTCTAGGACCATGAGCTTAAGCTCTAGTGGAAGACGAACCCACGGGAACGGCGCTGTGCTTTGAGATGCCATGGCTTAGGCACTCAAAACTGCTTAATAGTTCGATTCAGAGTCGAAGAGTCAGATGCTTTGAAAGGTGAGTTAAGTGTGGATGCAAAGTGAATGAGGTAGGGAATGAATCATTGACTGTAGATTTAACTTATGCGTAAGCAAATGCTAATCTAGTTATTCGATGTTTTCCCCTCATCAAGGTAGCATGAGTCATTTCTAAAAGCCAAGCATGGTTTTCATCTAGGTCCACCTTTTAGACACAGCAACCTCTTTGAACGTTTCATCAGGGAACTCCGTAATGAAACTCCCGCCCTCGCGGAAACTCGAGGGGGGGGGATTACGGACGACGACGACGACGACGACGACGAGAGATACCGAACCTGTCTTACGGAGTGTCAATGCAGGCATTGTCACGCGACAAAGTGATGCCCAGATAGGCTTCAGAGATGGTATCAAATGATATGGAAACTTTCTCCCATGTGATGGGGTTAGCAGGCATGTTAATGGCCTTCCAATCTTGGAGGAGCAGTACATGGGGTGGCAGGAACTTCGGTACAAGGAATGCCACCAAAGTCTTGCTGTGCCGCTCGGCCGTTCGCCCCTTTGGGTTCGGTAAGCTGACGGCGAAGGAGTGCAAGAATTGGATCAACCTGCAAGAAGCATGGCAAATCGAATTGAGCGACTATACGCATTACCAGACTAGGTAAGTAAGAACCAGTAGCTCCGTTGCTGAACCTTCTCTGCATGTCTGCAGTGTGGAATTCAACAAACTATCCGGGGTTTTCCTTAACGAACCCCTGCAGCCGATGCCAAGATCTGCACCAGACAAGCTTCATAATAAGCATTTTTCTCGGCTCGGCAAGATCCACGGATGCCTGCTGCTCGCCCCTGGTAAGATTGACCAAGGTCAGCCTAGGTTGACAGTTCGGCAGGTCAATAGACCGATATTCCACCTTCCCTCCGTTTAAGTGTTTTGAGCTGATATCGGGCAAACGCGAGGGTGCTAAGACAAGCCACTCACAAATAAAGCAAATGAGGCCCACAAACTCTTCAATGCTATCCACAATCGTTGAACTCCTTTCTCAATCGCAAAACTCGCAAAGGCTGGTCAGCAGCCGTGATCAAGGAATTGTGTTGGAGAACACCGATGAAGCTTGGCCAACAGAAGTCAGATATTGATGCAGACCATAGCCAATCTCTAATTTGGCTGCCTAAGACTCCCTGGTCATGTTGTCAGATGTCACAGTCCAGCCACTCCGAGGGTAGCAAGGGCTAGCCCTGCGAGGCGAGATATTTTCGACCTCCTGCGGAAAGAGGAAAGCCGTATTTCGACTTCATCAGAGGACAGTAGCTCTGTCCAACCACATCACAAGCCTTCCAGAGTCCGTGCCGTAGGAAAGCATCGCACGTCAACCTCCATTTGGCACTAAGACCCCAATCTCACTCTCATGACTGCATACAGGTTTGGCTCGACGGTTAAAGCCATGATGGCGTGGGTGTTGCTGAGTATCGGAAAGGACTTCTGTGACTTGGCAGTGTAATCCCATCCAACATTGGTATCTCGTGTGCGGAACAATAGGCAGACACTTTGCTCTGAGGAATTTCTCACGCAATTAAGCCAATATGGACTTTGCCGGAATCGTGGCGTGAAAATATTTGAGCGAAGTACTTATAAACTGAGAAACAGCTGTCTGCGACTTAACATGAAGACATGAAGAGTCCAATCGCATACGGCAACTGTCCTCGTAGCTCTTTGTCGCGACTCACTCGCAATCAGCAATCATGAGGTTTCCAATCCTCACGTCTTTGGCGGTTCTCGCAAGCGCTTGCCACGTGCAAGCCAAAGCGGTGTTTGCCCATTTCATGGTACGATACGCCAGGTAAACTGTCGCTTCCTTAGAACACTACTGACCGCAAAAAGGTTGGAAACACTGGGAGATATTCTCTTGCCACCTGGCGTGACGACATACGTCTCGCTCAAGAGGCCCACATTGACGGATTCGCCCTCAACATTGCCTACGGCGAGCGCATGAACGCTGCGTCGCTAGAGAACGTCTTTGAGGTGGCCAGCGACATGGGCTTCAAGCTCATCTTTTCCTTCGACTATGCCGGCGGGGGCCCATGGCCTAAGGATGACGTTCTCAACCTCTTGAAGAAGTACGCCACCAGGCCTGAATACTTCAAGCATAGCGATGGGACACCGCTCGTGTCCACTTTCGAAGGCCCCGAACAGGCTGCAGATTGGGTCGACATCAAGCGCTCCTTTCCCTGCTTCTTCATGCCCGATTGGTCCTCAAAGGGAGCGAAGAGAGCAGCGGAACTGGCGGGAGGAGTCGCCGATGGTCTCTTTAACTGGGCTGCCTGGCCTTGGGGAAACACTAACATGGATACATATGTGGATGCTTCATATTACCAATATTTGAGGGTGAATGAGGATACTAGTAAGCCATACATGATGCCTGCGTCGCCCTGGTTCTACACTAATCTCCCTGGCTATAACAAAAATTGGCTGTGGCGCGGAGACGACCTGTGGCACGACCGCTGGATCCAAATTGTCTATAACCAGCCAGAGTATGTTTCTCTCTCGTTGATTTCTCGCATGCTTGTTTCAGGACGACAGCTAACATAGTTGGCCTCCTAGCTACGTTGAAATCATTTCCTGGAATGACTACGGAGAATCCCACCACATCGGTCCTCTTCGTCCTAACGCCATGGAAGCCTTCGTCACAGGCAGAGCCCCTTTCAATTTTGCGAGAGACATGCCCCACGATGGTTGGAGGATGACACTCCCCTTCTGGATCGATTACTACAAGAACGGCAAAGCTACGGTGACCCAGGAGGGCATTATGGGATGGTTCAGAACGACCCCTGCGGCCATGTGCGGCGATGGCGAAACGTCCGGTAATACTGCCAGCCAGTTGCAGCTGGAGTTCTCGCCAGCCGAAGTCATGCAAGACAGGATCTTCTTTTCGGCTGTGCTCGGCTCGCATGCAGACGTTACTGTCAACGTCGGGGGGACCTCCCAGGCTGGAACTTGGACGTCCGTCCCGGACGGGGGCATCGGCGTCTACCACGGAAGCATGCCATTCCAGGGCAGGGGTTCGGTATCCATCTCTCTTCATAGAGGCGGTGCGAACATCGCCACTATCGACGGTGGTTCCATTACAGACAGCTGCGCAGAACGCGGTCTCACCAACTGGAACGCGTGGGTTGGGAGTGCGATGGCTGCAGGCTCCATCTCCGCCACGCCGGCACTATCGCGCGACGAGCAGAAATGCATCAAAGGCACTGGCGCGACTGGTTTCACCAAGCTCTGCGAATTTACCTGCAAGTACGGGTACTGCCCCGTCTCAGCATGTCAGTGTCTCGCCATCGGCGCCCCAATCTCTGAACCTCCTACCACAGGCCCGGCAGGTTTCCCAGCTGCGGGTAAGAGTGAGAGCTACACGGGTCTCTGCGGGTGGTCATGCCCTCGTGGCTTTTGCCCCACGGAATCTTGCAGCACAAGCAAGCAACCTATTAAGAATCCTACTGTCTCCGAGTTCCTCCCTCCTGCATGTACCGGGGGAGGTTCGGACAATGGCCTCAAGGGATTGTGCCAATACGCTTGTAACTTTGGGTTCTGTCCCCGGGGCGTCTGCACATGTTCCAACAAGGGCGGGCTGAACGAACCACCGCCGATGAAGGATACGACAGGCGACCCCGTGAATGAGGTCAAGGACTTTGGGCTGTGCCAGTTTGCTTGCTCGCGCGGGTACTGTCCCTCAGACGCATGCCGTCTCGACTATCCTATAGACGAAGGAGACAGGTGCGATGTCAGAGACAACACGTGGCTTGAACGGACGATGCCTGACGTTCAGCATGCTATGTACCCGATGCCGACTTCGACCATCCACTACATTACAATCGTCAATCTCACGCCGTACACCTTCCGCTATTTGAAGGATCGCTCCAACTACTACCAGGTAGCTGCTGACTTTGATGATATCCCACCGGGACAGTCTCGTCAGAACAAGGCCCGCTGGGCAGCCTCAGGTACGAGCAGAGCTGACGACAACGGTGAGGCGTACTTTGAGGTTAAGGGCACAAACCATGAGTTCCGCATCAGGTGCACGACACATTATCCCTCTGACAGGCCAATACGGTTCGTGGTTGACCTGGACGGCTGGGGACTAGGCGTCAAGGAGTACGAGGTTCCAGAAACTGAAGTATCCATCACGTTCGTGATTACAGGAAGCGAGAACTACGGGTACCATCATTCACTCACACTGGATAGCTCACCAGTGGCTTGGATGGATTCCATCAAGGAACACATCAAGGGAAGGCTTGTGAAGCACGTCATCATGCCCGGGGCCCATGATGCTGGAATGAGTGTCATTGGAAAGTACCAATGGGGCGGTAAGCATATCGTGACACGTGTGTGGAGAGGTGCTGTTCTGACATTGTTTCCTACAGGCACCTCCATGGATACCCAGACCCAAGCCTACGGCATCGCGGAGCAACTGGCGCTTGGTGCCCGCTATTTTGATCTTCGGCCAGCTATCGCGGATGGCGAATTTCACATCTTCCATGTGACCGATCCGAGAGCGACTGTGATACTAGGAGCCTCAGGGGTTACGCTGCAAAATGTTATTGACGACATCAACGAGTGAGTTTTTTCCACGAACGCCACATCACTCATCAACTCCCATGACTATTAAATTGACATTTCCAAGTTTCTACCTCAGCCATCCTGGTGAGGTCGTCTTCCTGTGGATGCGAGACATGGTCTCCTTCCGGGGCGGCCTGTTCGGTGGTGGCCATCCCTTCGACGGGGATGAAATGGCCCAGTTCTTCGACAAGCTGCGCCGAATCCAAAACCGCTGCCGCGGCCTGACCGAAGCAACCAGGCTGCATGAACGGGTCATGGGCGAGCTCATGGAGCAGAACGGCGGAACTGGCTGTGTGGCCATTATCCTCGACCAGTTTGGCGTCGACCCGAGGATCCCGCAAGACGACCCGACTTCGGGCATCTTCCTCGCAGGAAAGCACATGGACCGCACCGACCGATGGGAAGAGAATGTGGGCATCACGCCCGCCCAACTGCTCCACTACCAGGTCGCAGGCTTCTACGACCCAGTGCGCAGGCGCCTCGAGCCGTCGAAAGGAGGTGACTTCTTCGTATCGCAGTGGGTTTTGAATGCTAGACACGAGGATGCGGTGTTCTGGGGGCTCGAAAACCTGGCAAACTACCTCACCACGCCGATGCTTTACTACGGCGGCGTGGCGGAGATGACCCCGGAGATGTTTCCGACCGTGATGCTGATGGACTACATCGGAGTGCGCGTTTCGGGAGACACCACGGCGAATAATCGAGCGGCTGAGTTGCGGACGTTGGCGCTGGGGTTGAATCTGTACATGGTCAGCGAGAATTGCTACGTCAGCAAGCGGCGGAATCCTTTGGTCAAGGAGTCGGGCAAGAGGCTGGCGGCGCCGTGGAATGGGATCATCTTTGCGAACGGGACTCGGATTGATAACCCGCCCCCGAACTTTGATCCTTGGCGCGTGGATGTCTTGAGAAGTGGGACGGTGTTTGGGAACGGGACCGTTTTGACGAGGAACATCACCAACCCTTTCTAGTTGCCTCCTATGTAAGCAGAACCGACCCGCGCCGTCTCAAATTATTTGACGGGGGTGTTGATCAGATGATGAATGGCGTTGCTTGTCTCAGTATCAAATCTCATGAGACATCCTTCTTTGTATTGCGAGATATGCATTGGATGACTTAATTCAAGAACAGCAGTGGATCAACGCAGCATTAAACAATGGATGTCTATGACCAAAATGTGTATTAGTCTTGATAGAAGCCAACTACATTCCCAACTGGTCCATGTAACGAAGACAACTAAGACAGCCAGCGGATTGATTCCCTGTTGCTGGACACGAATGCTAGCAGAATCCAAGTCCTACGCTTGCTTAGTTTTATTGAAAGATATCTCAATTCTTGACGTATCGTGATTCAAAGTCTGAATAAAATGATACGGGGCCGGCCTCGCCTTGCTGTTGATTATGGATGATTGTGGGGGCTTCAGGCGGTTGAGCATCTCGCAATGCAACATTGCTGCAGAGAAGACCTTGAAACGCCAGTCATACAGAACTTCAACGGGAGACGTGATGAAGAGTAGGTGCCAGGGTCGGATGTTGTGTTTCCCCACGAGGAAGCACAATAGTTTCAATGAGATTGTGTCACAATGAAACTCTGCGCTTGCTGACCCCGATTCACAGTCCAAGAGGACGAGTATATCGCTTTCCTAAAGCCGTATTTCAATGTATGAAAACTACCAACATCTAAATAAAACGCAGCACAACGTGCGAAGTGATGGGTTCATGTCGGCATATGTAATAGATATTGCGTGGCTAGTATATCTCCTTCCCCGAGGCTTACGGCAAGTAGAGGAGTATGCCATGGGCGCTTGCACGCTAGCTTCACGACATACGACGATTTCCAGTAAAGTTGAAGTCTTTCATATAATGGATGGTATCAAACTATCTAATCTTGACACATGCTCCTCTAGCCCAGCATGAGCATATCCAACCGTCTCTCTTCAAGAGATCTCTCTATGACTCAAACAAGAGAAACCCAATCAATAAAATGCAAGCTCAAACGCCAGTGCCGCCCAAACCAATTCCATTGCTCGTCAAACCCATCCCTCAACCTCTACCAAAAAGCTTCTTCGCCGTCACCCTCCTGCCCGAGCTCGGCGTATACTCCTGCTCGTGCCCATAATACCCGTTCTGCTGCTCGCCAATCGAGCTAGGCGAGCGCTGCACATACGACGACGCCGCCTCAGGCGCGAGGCCCTCCTCCGTCCTCAGCTTCTGGGGCCTGGGTGGCGGGGGCGGCGCCACCGCGGGAGGCGCTTGGGCGGGCGCACGGTAGTACTCCTCGTCCCATTCCGAGGTCGACGTGTTGGTGCGCGGGGCCTCTTGGCGCGCTGTCTGCACCGGCGTCGGGTGGCCCGCGTACGTGTTGTTGCCGTTGGGCGCCGCGGGCTGCTGCTGCTGCTCTGGTTGGGATGTCGCGGCCGGGCGCTCACGTTCGCGGTCATCACGGGAGCGGGTTGGGCGGTGGGCTGGTGCGGCAGGTGGTGCTTGCGCGGGCGCGGGGGTCGAGACTGGCTTGCGGCTTGTCTCGCGTGGGGTCTCGCGTTCGCGGGGCTTCTCGTCTTCTTCGTCTGAAGTTTCCTCTAGATCGCGGTCTTCGTCGGCGTACTGGGTCTCAGTTAGCATCATCGCGTGTGAATTGTGGGACAGGGATTGACTTACCATCCTCAACTCCTTCCTCATGGCCAGGTTGGCGCAAATGTCCCTGGCCTCCTCAATGGCGACCTTCTGGGCCTTGAGCGTCATCCTGCGGTCCCTGGTCTCCTTGTTCTCCGCAGCAATACCCTCGACCGTCTCACTCTGCATGCTCAAGATCTCCACAGAGTTGAAGATACCGTACATGCCCTGCAGCAAGTGCCGCTCCACAACCTGCGTGATCGTGTTGCGAATAAAAGTCTTGGCCGCAAGCTCGTAAAAGATCAACATCTTCTCGCACACCTCCTGCGCCTCCGTGTACCGTCCGCCGTCCTTGGTCGCCTCCAGCTGCCACTTACGCAGCCGCTCCTCGTACTCGGGGTCGTACGGCTGAATCTCAAGGTTCATGTCCTGCGTCAGGCGCTCAAGCTCCTCCTGCGCGCTCGCCATCAGCTTCTTCACCTGCGGGTCGAGGAAGTTGTAGCGCAGCGGGTCGTGCATGCGCCCGGGCCACCCAAAGTCGATGACCTCGCTCAGAAACTCGTTGCACACCACGCCGAGGTTGTCCTTGTGCTCCTGCGCGAGCCGCGGCCAGTTCTCCGAGTAGCTCTGGAAGAGCATGTACACGGCGCGCGGCTTGGGATCCATCGGGAACTCGGAGCCGCGGATCTGCCGCAGCAGCATCTCGACCTCCTTGGTCACGAAGTCGCGCTTGCCGCTGTCGGAGATGGTCACGCTGCCGTCGGCGCCCGTGGGCGAGCGCGAATCCGTGGACGAGGCGAAGCCGAACTTGCGCCCGTTCTGGCGGATGCGGTGCGAGAACTTCTCGTTCTCCTCGATGGCGCGGGCGCGCAGGTTCTGGGCGGGCGTGCCGCGGGGGTCGGCGGTCGCGCGGAAGAAGTTCTTGCCGGGCGGGTTCTTGTAGAAGCCGTACACGGCGGGGATGACGAGCTCCTTGGATGCTGAGAATAGCTCGACGAGCTCGATGCGCATCTCCTCGACGGTGTCCTTGCCGGTGCCCATGCTCTTGAGCTCGGCGTCGCAGTCGTCGAGGGCGTTCTGGATCTGCTTGCGCAGCGTCTTGACGTGGCGGCCGATGTGGCGCTGCAACTGGACGGAGAGCTTCTGTTTCAGGGCGCCAGCGCCGCACATCGAGCCGGGAAGCGCGCGCCACTTGCCGCGGCCGAAGAACTCCTCCTCGCGCTGCTTGCGCTCGCGGGCGGAGGGCCATGGCTGGCCTGCGTCGCGGGGGCCCGGGTTGAGCAGGACGTACCAGCCCAGCTTGAAGTAGTTCTGCTTGTCCTTGTTTTGGACGAGTTCAATGAACTTGTCTTCAAGACCGATGGACTCGCAGAGATCGGGCTTTGTGAGGACACCAATTGTGCGGCTGCCGGAGGGGTCGAAGTGGCGCGCCTTGGTGAGGATCGGCGCCTGAACGTAGTCGGTGTTTCCGCCGACGACGGCGAGGATGATGGTGCGCGAGGACTTCATGTAGCGGTCGCAGAGGGTCTCAATGGTCGTGATGTCGTCCATTGACTGGTCATTGTTGGCGTTCTTGACGAGACCGGGAAGATCGACCAGTGTGAGGAGAGGCATGTCCGGCCCGCGCTTCTCAACGACCAAGATGTCGCGGGCGGCAAAGCGGCCGGGGATATTCTTGGGCGCAATCAGCTCCACGGCCGACCTCATGAGCGACTCAAACGACATGTCGGTGTCCACCGCGCCGCCAAACTGTTTTAACCTCTCCTGCTCTCTAAAATTGCGATTCTTGTCGGGGATGATGGAGACGTTGAGCGTCGGCTCGGCGGACCGCCTCAGTCGGATCTCGGTCGCGAAGCGCGTGCATGCGCCAGCATCGCGGGGAAATGGCGTCCCCGTGATGGCTTCCAGGACGGAACTCTTGCCGGCGGACTGGTCGCCGACGACGACGATTTGCGGGAGCTTGACATTGTCGAGCTGGGCGAACTGCAGCTTGTCGATGAGCTCGAGCAGGCCGCGCTGCTCGTTGGCCATGTCCGCCGTCCCCAGCGCCGAGTCGATGGTCGGAGCCATTTCGCGTTCGGGCCTGAGTGAGGCGTTAGTTGCTGAGCGATAGTCACGGCCTGCTGGAGATTCTTCGTACAATGATCCCATAAGTATCATGCAACGATGTATGTTAGAATGCGTGTGTATGGGGAAAGTATGTATGTGTGCGTAGAAAGAGGAGAATTCCAGACCAAAAGAACCACAGGTCTGAGAGTAAGAGAGCGGCAGCAAGCCTTTTAAAGAGAGCAACCGATTTTTGATGGAGTATGCCTAGCTTAAGCTTATGTATAATTACGCAGCCCAGAGACACTTGCGTCTGGACCGAACATCACATGTGCCAGGTTGGGGGCGTACCTCTCCAATGGCTATGAACGGGTGCCTGGATCTGGCCTCTTAGTCGTCGCAAGGCTGGCGTCGTAAGCTCCCATGACATACCAGTGGCCAACCGGCGACGTGGAGAAAAGCAAAAGCTTCGCCTACCAGGTTGCCGCCTCTGGTGCGGTGGCAGGAATATGCAGCGATTAGCATTCGTCTCCTCCATGGATATTGCTTGGCTTGAGGCAGCCTGTAGGCGTATGTTCAGGCCCTTTGTGCATACAATAAGGTGCCGTCAATCCTGCCACTCGGCAGAGGCCCAGCAAACATCCGAGATTGACACTGAACAATCCCAGGAAACATCAATGAAGACGTGGGGAGACCGAAGCTCATCCATGTCTTGCGCAAGGGCCAAGCCACAGACTTTCGGGGGTGGAGGGGGGACGTGAGACCCAAACGAGCTGATTTTGGGCATGTCGGACGAATGACGTCGGCTGTCCGGCGTTGCACAGCCTCATTTTTGCTGTTCTCCGTAGCACCCGCTTGGCTTGACAAGTTGACTAGCACTTGAGTCGTCTCTTTCTGTGTCTGTCTGTCTCCCTGCTGTACCAGGCAGTCGGCGCAGGAAACGGTTCGCATGACGAGGCGTACGCGTCGGAGACCACTTGTTGCCCAATCATCCCTCGGGCAAGCCCACCCGATGGCTAGCATTTCAAGCGAATGAAGGAGCTGTTGAGGAGCGAGAAACCGAACGCCAAGGGACAACGGTGCCGTGCCGGTATTTGGACTTGGACTTGGAATTCGCCACTTGTGCAAGTTGGAAGATGGTCGGAGTCTTTTTTAGAACAATTAAGTGGAAATGGAGGGATGGCTGTGGCGGTGCAGAATGGGGCAAGCCACGAATGACTAATGAGGTTCTAGATCGGGCGGATTCTGTGGCTGGTGCAGATCTGTGGCTGGTGGAATAGAAATGTGGCGAGTGCTTCGGTCTCCGACTTTCAAGCTCCCCGCTGCGTCTGTGTTCTCAACACAACATCACTCGTTTGGCTTGTCTTCAATCGCGCACGTCCATCAGCGCCAATAATGACTTCATTTCTCTTCTCAGAAGTGCTTCACCAGCAATGCAGCCGCCGTGAAACTACATACTCCTGCATGCCAACTAGACGTTTCCAAAAGGGCCCGTGTGCCGACCTCCCGCTTCAATACGCAAACTCCTGCCCAACAAGCTTCTCACTCAACCTCCACAGCATGTCCGCGTCAACCTTACTCGCCGCCCAGCAGTACACCTCCTCCTCATACGGATTCGCGACGCGACAGTGGTTGAGGTACTCCCCGTTCCTCTCCTGCTTCAGCAGTTCCTGGTCGAACGCCGCATAAACATGCGTCGCGACCCCCTGGTCCACATCCTTGGGCGCGATGCCGCCCATGCCCCAGAGATACTTTGTGCCCATCACCGCGTCCACCCGCCTCAAACCTTCCAGCAGCGCGGGGATGTCGTCCGCCCCGTGCGCCGCGGCGAGGAGGTTCGTGTTCACGAAGCCCGGGCACAGACTGAACGCATGCAGGCCCCGCGACGCCCCGAACTTGCCGGCCAGCGCGACCGCGAACAGGCTGGTGGCCGTCTTGGACTGCCCGTACGCCGCCCAGCAGTCGTAGTTGGCCCCGTTGTCGAAGGCGTGGTCCGTCCAGCGGATGTGCCCGAGGCGGTGCGCGCCGCTGCTGATGTTGACGACGCGCGGGTCCGGGGAAGCGAGGATCTTGGGCATGAGGAGGTTGGTGAGGAGGAAGTGCGAGAGGTAGTTTGTTTGGAACTGCGACTCGAAGCCGTCTTCGGTGAGGACGTATGGACCGGCCATAATGCCGGCGTTGTTGACCAGGAGATCGATGTGGGGGACGTCTGGCCAGGAGTTGACGAGGGACGCGGCCTCGCGGACCTGGGCGAGGGAGGTGAGGTCCAAGGTAAGTGGCTTTATGGTGATGTCTGGGTGTGATGAGGCGAGGAAGTCGATGAGGGGTTGGGCCTTAGACGGGCTACGGCCTGCCAGGATGAAAGTCGACGGCTTGGCGACTGCCACCTGCTTCACGAACGCGTCACCGAGGCTCCCAGGAGAAACGCCGGTGATGAGGATAGTCTTGCCTGCGATGTAAGGAGCGTAAATGGGCACCAGCTCGCTGGCGCGTGTGGTGTTGTCGTAGGTCGGTGCCATGATATGAGTGGTGATGAGGTCAAGGTAGGTCTGTGAAGTGTAACTTGGCGCAGTGACTTGAGATGCTGATGAACAACCTGGTGATGCCTCTTTGCTTTCAATCAGTCGATTTGGCCGTCTCTTTATACCCATCCCAGTACATCGTCTGCGATGGTCTTACACATGCCATGTCGTATCATGGCTCTCATCCACATCTCGGAAAACGCTCAGACAGTATCGCTATCCACATCGTAAAGTCTTGTGGCGCTGCAACAGGTGGATAGGTCTTTCGGTACTGCTGAGTCCTGAGTGGTCGGTCTCTATGGCTCATGGTCGAAGCATGCGGATTTAGCGGCCGTAAGCGGCGGCAAGACCCAATTTGCTGCTCTTTCGGCGTTACCACTTCACGAACCTCAGGAAGCCTGCCCGTGAGGACAAAGACCTCGGGTAAGATTGAAAGTTATCCTTGTATTATCTCTAACTAACCCCCGATAACGCCAAAAAGTTGTTGGTCTCCAGTTGCCGCCCCCAAGCGTGCGGCCCCACGGCGGCCGCATATGCCGCATGTCCCGCATCCCGCGCCCTGGTCCATGCTAGCCCCCATGCTCCGATGTGATCCTGTGAGCGATCAAAAAATATTTCTCTCATACATCATTCGTCAATTTCGTAAGCTCCTTTGCCAGGATCAGTTCCTGCGGCCCTGGCCGCTGCCCCGCGTAGCTCCATTGCTACCCGGTGCCGCGCCCCATGTGCTGGCCCCACTTCCGGAGCCGGTGACCGGCCGATATGCCCCGATGTTGTGGTACGGACTCGCGGAATCGCCCTGGGAGAGCCAGGTGTTGAGCGTGGCCGAGCCACCTTGTTGTTGATATGTGAATTGTGTCGGGGTCTGGCCTTGGTGCTGGCGCGGGACGGCGACGTATTGGGTGGTGTATTGGTTTGGCTGTTGGGAGGACATCTCTGCGACGGATGCAGGTGGTGGGATGGGTCTCAAGCGACTGGGGAAATTGTAGATAATTTTGCTCTATTGAAATCTGATGGGAGTATTAAATGAGAGATTGAAGACGAGAGACTTTTTTCGTTGGCCTTCATCGATTTCTTATATACATTTCCAAATCCTCACAGGGCCCCGAAAGGTCACAAAAAGACCGCTGCGCGGGTCACAATCCTCATGTGCTGAGGAGCGTCAATCCTCAGTGACGAGGAGTCGAACTCCTCCGCCACCATAGGCTCCTCAAAACGGTCTTTTTGCGGTTCTTTCCTCACGCGGACAAAAATACAAAATCATGTAGTCTATCGAACATCGAACAGCGAAACATTCCCAAAACATTCCAAAATGCATGCGTCATCATCAAAAATACCCATGGTCCACACTCTCCAGAAACTACATATCCTCAAGCGGTCTTTTTGGTAGGCAGTAATTCGAATTGGCCAAAAGAACCCGACATGTGTAAAAAGCCCCCTGGCAGCCGTGAGCTAGTGCAGGCACCAAAGTGTCTAGGGAGGGGGGCACATGGTCGACAGGGGTGATGATTGCTAAAAAGACCACGCTTCAGGGGCATCGGCGAGCGGGTGTAGTCAGCAGCACTGCGATTTTAGGGGCATTCATTTTCTGTGAATGTTCAATGGCCGGGTATCTGAAAAGGGTCTCGCTTATGCAGGGTCTTTTTGCTGTTGGTGATGGGGATTTTTGGTTGATGTTGGCTTGGCATCTTACGTCTGCTACCTATTTAATCCGAGCAGAGCGGGCGGTCTTTTTGAGATGACTAGTTTCTACAAGCCTTGATGTCATGAAGACGTATGCTCAAGGCTGTTCCCTCACGACCAGATTAACCAACACACAGGCATTCCCGTTTTCATCTTTGCAGAGGAACATCATATCCATGAAGTCCCGAGACCCTGCCGTCCCCTTGTTTAAGGATACGGCATCATAGGAACCAGTTCCGTCAACACCTCCCACACCGTTATTGCTGGATACCTTCGAGGCGGACAACTTGAAACCACCCGGCATATTCTTCTGAAAGAACCCATCGGGATCATACTTCAGTGCGACATTATTCAGCCGTTCCGCAACGCCCTGAGGATAGCCATCGAAGAATTCAGCAGCTTGGAAGGCCGCGGAATCTCCCATGTGTCTCAAAGGATGGTAAAGGCCCGCCTCAGCCGTGGCGCTGTCGATTGTTTGGACTGTCTTCTCAATCCAAGCAGAGATAACGTCGTCGTACTGAGAGTCGACCCAGGTCAACGCAATGGCGTAGACGATGTAGGTGCCCTGGGATCCGTCCAGCGACAGGGGCCCTCCACCTTCACTGTCGTTCTGCGAGGTGACGATGAAGTCTCGGCCGAGGGGCTGGAAGTACACCTCCGTGGATGCGAAGGTACCGGCAGGAACTTGTGCCTGGACCGATCTTACCGCCTCTTCGAAGATCTCGCTGATGAGGTGAATGCCGGCAAGCAGTCCTTCAAAGTCCGTTGAAGCGATCGTTCCTCCGGTGAAAATATCACCCTGGCCATCCATGACGGACTTTCCAGTCTCAAAAGCGAGATTTGCGACAGTCAGGTGACTCAGCGTGTTGCCGACGTTGGGTATGTCGAGAAACCGGCGGAAGATCCCAGGCTCCGTCTCATACGGATCGTCGTACAATAACACGACGTAAGCGTAGGCCGAGATCTCGTCTGTAGCATTGTCTCTGGCAAATCCTACTGTGGGGATGATGTGTGACTTTGCGTCGAAGATGTCCGCGGAATAGGCAGCGACAGCCTCAAAGAAGGCTTCAAATTGGGAAGACTCGAATTGCAGAACGCCGGCAAATACTCTTGGGCTGGGTATGGTCTGGAGTTCGAACGATGTGACGAGTCCAAAGTTCGGGCCGCATCCTTTCACCTGGGAGCAATATCAGCTTCGACTTCTGCCGCAGGTTTCTCGGAGAATGCTCACCGCCCAGAAGAGGTCATTGTACTCATTGGAAGCAGTCGCGTTCACGATTCTCCCATCGGCGAGGACGACCTCATAGCTGCTGACCGTGTTGGCTGAGAAGCCATACTTGTTGCTGTAAAAGCCTATTCCGCCAGCCAACAACTGCCCCGGAACGCCAACGGGTGCTACGCGGCCGCCGGCGACGGTAAGATCGTATGGCTCAAGGGCGTTGTAAACCTCTCCCCAACGCAGCCCTGGACCGAGGTGAACGTGGGTGCGTTCAGCGGAGAGTTCTAGTCGTGTCATGTTGGAGAAGGCGATGAGCACATCTCCGTCGATGCTATTCGCCCCCGGAATGGCCGTGTGACCACCGCCTCTGACGGCGAAGGAGCCGTTGACGGACTTCACTGCGCTCATGGCGGTTCTGACCTGATGAGCTGAGGTAGGCACAAAGATGCAGCCTGGGTTGAGTATCTCTACACCGTGGCCAATTAGTTTACCAACTTTCATGCAAGTGTGAGAGACCTTCGAGGCCTTACCGGTATTGGACCAGAAATTGCGCTTTTCATACTCGTAAACTGCAGATCCTGGTTGAAAAGTGATATCCGGGGACACCTGAGCGAGTGTTCTGCACCCAGCGGAGATGGCCAAAGATTTCTGTATGAAAACAAGCAAGCCAATACCTGCGGCTCTCATATTTGACGTCTTTTGCATCTTTTTGAATGTGAAGTTGACGATCAATAGTTAAAGAACCGCCTACGTAATAACACCGGGCTCAAAATATTTCATGGCGGGCTCAGACAGTGGCCCTTAGACTCACATAGCAGGCTTTCAATCGTTTCCACGATTGGATCTCTGACATGTTGACCTTTACAGTGGATCCATGAACAGTTTCATGAGCCAATTGCGGGCTTATTAGAACTTCACGACCGAGGCCGAAGTTTATAATCTGATCGGAGCCTTAACCGAATAAATCTCCATGTTCATCCGATGCGGCCGGCTCCCACTGAGCAAGGGCCAGAGCCGCGGACCTGACGCCAAGGAATTTGGTACGGACCAAATGCCGGCGGACACAAATAAAACTCCACGTCTTTGCATTTGTCAGTTGGCCAGCATAGGTCCGCTTGCGCTTCGCGTCTATCGGCACTCTGAAGCTACTGTTAACGGAATTCAACCTCCGGTTCTTCGGCCTCCTTCAGTGACCGGCTCAGCGCTGAGATCGTCTCTTCATGATGTATATGTGCTTGGTTTAGAGTGAGGTTTCACTTCACAAAGCCGAATCTACGATAGTCATTATAGTCATTCCAATTTCTGAAATAAAACAATACTACAACATCAAGATTGGCCCCAGCAGAGATTCAAAAGCTCGCCTTCTTTGGTTGCACCGGCAGCACCAGCAGCGCAGTCTTGAAATCGCTCCTATCCAACAGGGACAAATCGACCAAGATACATGTCTTCGTTCGGTCAGCTCGTAAGCTCAAGCTACTCTTCCCCGGTATTGAAAGCTACTCCCATGGGGAGATCACCGAAGGCCAATCAGCGACCACGCCTCATGGTCCACTGCCTATCGGGCGCAACACACATCATGTGCACCATCGGCAGCAACTACAACCAACCCGGGATGCGCATGCACCGCGATGCAGTTGAAGCAATTCTCGCGGCATTGAGCGAGTTGCATGGAAAGGTGGCAGCCGGAGGAACGTGGCGGCGACCGCACATGGCGTTTCTTGCATCTGAGTCCATAAGCGAGAAGCTGTGATCGCACCGCCCTGCTTGGGTACATTGGCTGATCATGAATTCCTTGAATCACATCTACTTTGACCTAGCCACGGCAGAGAAGGAGCTCATCTATTCTTCGCTGGTCACAGTCACCTTGTTCCACGCCCCTTTTCTTTTCGAGGGAGAGTATTCGGGCTACACGATCAGCACCGATGAGCCAGCTGCATCAGCGTCATATCGAGACTTGGGCGCGGCGATGGCGGCGATGGCCTTCTTGCCTGTGGAAGTAGAGGTCCAGGCCGTTACGGTGGCGAGTCATAAGCCGATGGCCCTCGGCCCCAGATCAGTGGAGCAGGTACGGAGACTCACCAATGGAACTTTGGGTCGTTTTGTTCCTGGGTACTGGAGCCTGTCAGGATGGAGTTGAGTTCGTTCATAAGTAGGGACGGTGAAGAAGGTGAGGGCGATAGGAAAAGTGGTTTAGACATTTTGAAATCTTATTTTGTATGCTGAAGCCGATATCTTCAATTTTCAGCTGTTGTCATTTCGTAAGCTAGTGCTGCTATTGGCCGAGAATATAGGTAATAAAGGGTGAGATATCCGACTTGATACTGCTGCTTTTGAGATCAAATATATGAAGGCCGAAAAGACCCTCCGACCTCGGACATAAGGCATCATCGGTATCCCACCCGCACCGGCTGCTATGAGGGCCTGCTAAAGTCCGTGGGCGGTAGACATACAAAGTTCACTTTTGACTCACATTCTGTTACATAGCGAAAACGGGGAAGGCAGAGAGAGTTGGCTAGCAGGCGTTCGCATGCCATGACGGGGCGTCACTTTGGTCATTTTGTAATTCAATCCGAGGTGGAATGAGACAATCAACGAGTGTATATGATTAGGAGATATGTGGTAATGACTGGCTCTGGTATACATCAACTCAAGCTCTGCGAATTCTCTGACACTTGTGCGCTCCTCCTGACTAGCCGTAGATATCCTCTGTCATCAAAGTCCGTTACGGCCCATCTCAAGACCTTGTGAAGCCTTAATCGCACATGGGCACATTATCAAAGATGTAGTTGCTCTTGAACTCGCGCGGCGGGAATCCACAATCGGCACCACACTCGCTGCCGTCCAGACCGCCATCCGACAGACGTCCGTGGTAGACGGTGCCGTCGATCTCAATGGCAATGCTGCAATCAGCATCGTCAATCGTGTCATCCTCAGCTGAGACAAGAGTGTAGTCAACATCACAAATGTTGTCACTCGCCGGCAGCGACGAGCAGATGTCCTCGTCGAAGACATTGGTGGTATCGCACGGGCTGCCGGCCGCGAACGTCCGCCAGTCGTGTGCGCCGTTGCCGCCCTGGACTTGGTAGGTATAGGACAGGCAGAGGTTTCCGGCAGCGGCGGGACGGAAGAGGCTGAGGGTACTGGCCAGGGCCATGGCAAGGTTGGCGTTGGAGAACATCATTTTGAATCGGTGAAGTAGTTTGAGGACTTGAAAATAAAACTGGCCCTTTGGTGCAGGTGTTTAATGAATTGTTGCTTGAGAATCTGGTAAGAAGGCTTACTCAAGAATTAAAGTGAACGCTATACGAGAGTATCAAAGCATTATATACTCTCCCGATTATTTCGGGCCATTTGGCGGCGGTCGTCAAAGGAAATCATGACAACATCACAAATAGCCTATGGGAGGAATGCAGCCTGAATTCCCGCATCGCAACACGCTGGCTCCAAATTCAGGGAAAGAACACGCAATCATTTTACCAAAGTAAAATTCACAAAATCCGAGTAGAAAGTTGAGTCTCTATTCGATTAGACACTACGCAAATCATTACCCTCGGTGAGCCGGAATTCAACCCTGAGCTGACTTCAGTCATCCGACGTCTCTGTGATGATTCCTGACACCCGAAGAAGGTCGAGATGGGACCATGTTGGTACAGCCAGCAGAGTTTGGGCGCAACTCATGTTGCGATGGCAAGATATTTCGGATACACAGAGGGTCAGAACACATTCTAGATTTTGTATCGTGACTGCTGGTACCTTTTGGGTAGCATCTTTGAAGCTATGAAGTATTCCGGATGTAATGGATTTGTCACGATGAGAAGTTGAAGCGCAAAAGCATCTTACTCATTCTATGTATAGATGAATCCCAAAAGGGGTCAAAGTCAATTATCGGACCAGGCCTTGAGCTTTAAACGGAAGTAGATCAACGTTTGGTCACCTTTTCCGTATCATCAGTAATCCTTATTCAATATTGATCGACAGGACGCAGGCCAAGACTTTTCAGCCCAACTCGGGACTTTGATAAATCATCATATCGTGTCTGTACCGGTCTGACAAGTGGACCGCACCGGTCGCGAGCCGTTCGATTAGTCTACTTCGGGCTGATAAAATCAAAGTCCCATGAAGTGCCATGCGGCGGCGCCGGAACACTCTGCAGAGTCGTAACCAATCAGCTGCTTGATTACGTCTTCCGGACGAATCACAGACCTGCGACCTACACGTCTTTCGGAGAATATTGGAGACTATGAAGCGGCTCCTGCAAACAGCCGGTACATCTTGTCATCGAGATCTTCCTTGGTGTCTTGGCGGCTGCCTTCGAAACACTGCCTCGCCCCCAATCACAGCTCTTCGCAATCGGGACAATTTGAGAGTCTTAGAGTTGCATTGTCACAAATCCTCTCACCACAACACCATTGTCACAGCCTCCGGCGACCCACCTCCGCCCGACGCCGGACTCTGTCTACACGTTGACTATTCAAGGGATTGTGATAGTGCAAGGATCTACAGCCTGTATTTGTGCACGACCTTGGAGCTGCAGTTGTAGCTGCAGCAACAACCTCTGAAAAGCACTCTGACGTATAGTAGCATCATCAAAGGTTCTTTACAGTTACGATCACAATTTCACCGAGGGACCAAAGACCATATTCCTTTGTACCAGGCTGTTGTCAGCAAGAGAATCAGCTGTTCGTGACGATCTCTGAACTCGCAGCTTACGAACCCGTCACAAATCGTCACTTGGCCGTCAGCAACTTCTCACGACCAGGCACTGTTCTGTTTCGTGTCGCCCAGTACGTCCGGAGCTCAAAAGTAACAACATTCAATCGCTTCCAGGATGGCATCGCAAAATATAAAGGAAACCCACAATCATAGCAGTAAGTCTATCTTTCCGTTCCTCATCAGACACGAACACTTCTACATTAGCACACAAGTTCTCCTCCCCCTTTATACAACCTAGTATCACATCTTAGCCTGAACCGCCATCATGCGTACCAACACTCTTGCCATCTTTGCCTCTCTTCTCCTGCTTGGCCACCGCGCCTTCGCCTTCGATATCTACTTGAACGAAGACTCTGACTGTCCAGATGATGAGATCAGCATCGTTTGTGAGGAGCAAGTCGTTGGCGACTGCTGCAACGGCGCTGTCAACACCCTGTACAGTTCCGCCCAGGCCAGCGACGACCAGGGCGGCGTTGTCCTGTATGGGCTAGACCAGGGCCAGGCCCCGGACTCGGAGAATCGCTGCGGTCTTCAGCTGGCCAAGGACGACACCTGCGCTACCACTGATATCCCGCAGGGCTCCGCCGCCGGCGCCCTCGGCGAAGAGGGCGGCGACGAGGATCCCAGCACTGACGAGGAGCCTACTGATGGTGACGATGACGGCGAGGATGATGGTGGTGGCGACCACGGTCGCCGCCACGCTCGCGACGTCTCTCCCAAGAAGGAGACTTGGATCCAGAAGAACAAGAAGGCTAAGCGATCGGAAGGCTGGCGTCAGACTCAGCACACAGCTTATGCCGTCCGTGATGCCACCCATGTCTGGAAGCTTTCTCGCGACTCGGAGCATGCTCCTGCATACGAGGCTCTCACCGACCGCCAGGAACGAGTTGATTTCCTCAAGCGGCACGGTGTTGCCAAGCGCCGTTAATCATGAGTCGGTATCATGACCACCCAATTCGCAAATGAGTTGAAGGTCTCTCATCCCTCGACGAAGCACTTTATTTTCGGCTGCAAACACCAACGTCACTCATTCGCTAGTTGCATTTACGACATTCCTTTGGAAATAGGGGACATCAAACATGCATGAAACAAAATTCAGGAATTTGGACCATGGTCACTCGCTGTATTGTAGTTATATTTCAATGAACCACAATCCATTGATACATGTCCATTAGAAGTCAGGTGAGGTGTGGTGCGACAGTCTCTTGATAGCCACCTAGATGTCTTTCTTTGATGCCGAGCATAGCCGACAACATCTCGTGTGAAGGTCTCAGCTTGTAAGAGTTGTGTGCAAGTGAGTGAAAGTTGGAGGTATCTCAATCAGTGTTGCGCCGCTCTGCCTGGCTAGTTCCAACACGACCCGACTGGAGCCGGCAGTGGAAAGAGTTTCTACCAAACACCTTATGTCATTAAGTAAAGATCGATGGTTTAGCGATGATGTCACATTTCAGTGGCTGGACATGCCTAAATAACTGCGGAGGTTGACCTACAGCCAGGACAGTCATATGAACTAAGACACCAAATATTTCAAGTCAACCTAGGGGTGTCGAATTTACGATCGAGTGGCGGCGATGGCCTCTCCTTGCTCAGTTGGTTGCATGCGTTGTTAAGTAACTTCCTCTTTCGGCAGCACTCGGCGGTGCTTGGCAGGGAGACGGGGCGGGATGATAGACAAGCAGTCAGCCTTCGCGGAGCCGTTGACGATGATATATGCACGAGCTTCTCTGCCTCCATTCACTTCGTTCATCAACCGAACCCGCTCTGCTTACTGATACACAGAACAAACCCCGCAGGTAGAGGTGCTACAGTCTCAGAAGGCGTTGCACCAAAACAGCGGCAGCCTAGGTATTCAATGTGCATTGGTATCTTCCAAGTGCAGAGTCACAGCTTAACTCTTTATCTTTAAGAAACATCCTTCTTTCTGAGCTGTTGGGCGTATTATGAAGTTGATGCCACACTGAAAAGATGCATAACTCACGATTCTCGTATCCGATATCCAAGCCGTACCCTTTCAGGTGGTTCACACCCGTCGCCTTGGTAGGAGGCCTTGTTGTTGCAGTCATACTCTTGTTGCTCAACCTGAGCGCGAACGGCTTTTACCTGAAAACGGTTTACACGTCCGACCCCAACAGCACTGAAGCCCACGCAAATGCGCAGTATGTCAACATACCAATTTCAACTGATCAACCCCAAGCTGAAATTAGTTCAAAGATGGTTCAGGCAGCGTCCATTCAATTGGCAAAGTGATGTGCAAGCATAATGCCAACCGCATCTGTTATCCGTTGGAGATTCCTTTTTCACCACAAACCTCAGCTTCCGATACACTATCAAAGCGATTACAGATCCGGCCAGAAACTCCTTGTCCACAATTGGTTACAAGAACAACACCCTTCAGAGCTGTATACCGAAGGAAATAGAGCCTCGGTTGAGAAAATCCGACACTGCGGCTCCACCAGCGCCTTCAAGGTGGCTTTCATGGATAGATTCATCAATACTGGCGACATTCGATTGTACTGTTGCAACTGATGAAAGCCTGATGACTATGACGGTCACGACCGAATACAGTGACTCAGGGGACAAGATCTATAGCTATGTTGTAGAAGATGATTACAAGACACATGCCAGCGTCTGGTGGGGAACCAGAATACTCAACGCCTACTGGAACGGGGTACTAGCTACGGCATCCCGCATGACAAATGTAAGAGACGGAAAGAAATACGTCGTCCGAGCTCATCTATATTACACATTGAACCCATTCGAAAAAGAGTAAGTTTTATTCGTCCGCTACTTTGTTAGAAGCAATTAACTTTGATAAAGCATTCAAGACGACAATTTCTTCAACCTATACTGGTGGACGGGAAACGATGACAGCTCGGGGCCTAATAAAAACGACCTAGAAGATGATGAAGGTTATCACGACTACAACTCTAATGTAAGGAGCGGCTCTATCCTTTTTGTGAACGGCGTTTCTTTGCAATGGAATCATGCAGCTGAAATTAATTCAACATTGGTATGTCTCGGCATCGTTAACAGAAGGACTTCACTGCACCAAGATCTTGTATTCTCTTCTTTCCCTGGATCTAGGTAGTTGCCAGTCACCAAGTCTTCTGCTTGATGACAATGGCCTGGAGTACGCAATTCTGGCACCAAATGACTCGAATCGAGCGTCTGGGAACCTTCTGAATGGATCTGCTTTTGCTCCAGATGAAATAGAACGTTTCAATCGGATTCCTAGCCCTGTGCCTAATAGCACAGACAAACGTCTGACAGATCTCAAAGGCTCATTCGATAAGTTCCATTCTCTTATGGGACCCTTGGGCTGCAAGAATGCCACCATTGTTCACCAATATCTTTGCTCTCTTCCTCAGCAAAAAAGCTGGGGGGTATTGATTTTCTCAATCTTGCTTGCAGATCTAGTCTTCCTCCAGGCGGCTTGGAAGATTCCGACATGGACTGCCGATGCCTTGGTAAAGAGGGGTAATCTGGAAGCAATGTCATGTGAGGGGCATCAGACTCAGAGCGGATCCTGTCACCTATTGGATAGCTCTATTGCATCTCATCACGAGTTTAAACAGATCCCAGGTCCGCCCCGGAAGGTTGCGACCTTCTAGGGTAGAGCCATTTGTACAAAAATTAGGCGGTCGCTCACGGGCGCCCTTGAGGTTGGGTTGCAATAACCGCGTCAACTGGCAGGACATAGATTGGACTGGGGGTTTCAGCCATTTCTACAATCGACTTTTCTGGGGTTGGTTCTCCCCATTCGAAAGTTCAATTAAGCCCGAGATTAAACCTGACGCAGAGTCTCACGCGCCAAACCATGTGTACCGCTCTCTCTTGTACTTATGGCCCCACTCGAGCGAACACTGGGGAAGTAAAGCTACTGAACCGGTCTTGTTCCCAGTTACACAGCTTTCTGACGGTCGTCGCATATTGTCTAGAATTATTTTGTCTTCCCCGGTATCATCGTGTATGATTGAGTGACTCGCTTTAGTCTGAGGGACCAGACCGGGCACTCGGGCTCGGATCCGGATCGTTACTGTTGATGTGGGACTCCGTGATTGTGGTGGGCTGAATCGCTACCCCTGGCTTTTGCCTAGTACGTCATCCACGCCAAAGGACTCGTGTCTCAAATCAGGACTGCTGTCTGACGGAGCAAGGTTGAACTTGGGACATTCTTACGGATGACAGTGCCCGCAAGGATTCGGCGCGAGTACTTGAATCCAAAGCTTTCGTTCTACGTTCAGTCAACTCATAGCCTTGGACCAGCGCGTGCTACAAGGAGAAGGCGCCTGTCATAGGAAGGGCAAACAGGAGCTCAGATGGAGAAATTCTCCGGGTATCTATTTTATATAAACCGACAACTTCGTAGCAAAATGACGTGCGGGCAGATCCGACATGCCAAACCACATGTCCCAGATGCATTTATCCCTAGCCAAGCCCCGCCCCTCTTCACATGCCAAACACGATCAACTCCTGTCCCAGCCCACTCCGCTGAACACCTGTCCAATGGCACCGAGCACCGTATCGACGATGGACTTGACGAAACCTTGGCGCTTGTTCTTCCCAGTCGAGTCCCGCAGGGGGTCCTCGCTTCCCATCGTGGGTAGCACGTTGTCGCTCGCGGATAAACTTACGAAGAGCGCAAAAGGGACCATCCAGACGCAGAGGCCAAAGTAGGAGGCAATCTCGGTGAAGCTCGGGATGTCAGGCTGGTCGTAGTAGGAGTGCATGTTGGAATAGGATTGCTGTTGGGCGGCGGAGAAGTGGCGGAACCAGAGGTAGTGGTTGACGAGGACGAGGACTATAGCTTACTGTCAGCTTGGGCTTTCTGGAAAAGCAGCTTTTGGGGAAAGACATACCACACGAGGCCAGGAACAGAGGGTCAGTCAGCTGAACGAAGGGGAAACGGCGCATGTTTCCGAGGTACACGACGTGGGAGACGATGCCCATGAGGGTCAGCGTGAAGGGGAACCGGTCGACGACGCATAGCAGGAGCTGCAAGGCCATGATCGAGTAGATGAGCTTCGTGAGCAGCTTCTTGGCGGTAACCGTGTGCTCTTCGACGAGCTCGGAGAGGTAGTAAAGACCCGAGGCTGTGGAAATAGCTACGTCAGTACGTGATGCTGCCAAGGGAGACCCGGAGAACAGAGGCCGGGGGTTGGTTCACGAACCGATTGCCAGGGTCAGAAAGCAGAAGCCCACGATGGAGCCTAGGTAGCCAACAAGAGGTAGAATCCACATCTTGACGGCTGTGTTGTGTTGTGTTCAAGGAATAATATGGTACAGAAAGAAAAAGAACGTGGAGAAGGCGAAGGTGGTGTTTGGTGGTAGGCGATTGTAACTGGGAAGCTTCACATTGTGTAATTAAAGCCCAGGCGCATGCTGCACGGCCACGGGAGGCGCGTCGGGACGGGGAGACAGGGACATTTTTTGGTGGGTTCCATTTCGCAAGCGTGGCCTTTGCGCCGGAGTCTCGGAGCAGCTCATGATCCGGGCAGCGGGATGACCGCGGGATGAGGTACGCAGCTGGAACTTGGTCTTATCGAGTCTTATCGACCCCACCACTTTCGTTATCTTATCGATAGCTATCCGTACCCCGAAGCCTGCGAATTTTGAAGTTTCCCACGACACAAAAATTCACCGCCCAACCTCGATGCGCCGACGTCACGAATCGCTACCCTGACCGCCGGACCGCCGCTTGTCTCCTGACGATACTCTAGACCGTCAATCGAACGAAAGATCTAGCCCATCATGTCGCGCCCTGAGGATACCCTGTCAGTCAATCCCCCATCCGAACCCCGCCATCCAACTAACCTCCTCCAGCGCGGCCGACATCCACTACGATGACACCGAAGCGCGCAAATACACCACGAGCTCCCGTATACAAAACATTCAAGCCTCGATGACTCGTCGCGCACTCGAACTTCTCGACCTTAAGGGCCCCTCTCTGATCCTCGACGTCGGCTGTGGCAGCGGTCTTTCCGGCGAGATCCTCTCTGCTGAGGGTGAGGAGGACGGCGGCCCGCACACCTGGATCGGCATGGACATCTCCCCCTCCATGCTCGACATTGCGCTGCAAAGAGATGTTGAGGGTGACCTGCTGTTGGCCGACATCGGGCAGGGCGTTCCCTTCCGCGCGGGTTCCTTCGATGCCGCCATCAGTATTTCCGCGATCCAGTGGCTCTGCAACGCCGAGAGCAGCGACACATCCCCCGAGGGCCGCCTCACCCGCTTCTTCAACGGCCTTTATGCGTCATTACGTCGTGGAGGAAGAGCCGTGTGCCAGTTCTACCCCAAGAACGACACACAGCGCAACATGATTACCCAGGCGGCGGTGAAGGCTGGCTTCGGCGCCGGTCTGCTCGAGGACGACCCGGAGACGAAGAATGTCAAGTTGTACCTAGTCCTGACGGTTGGAGGCACGGCCGAAGGCGGCAAGGGAGGCGACATCACCAACGTCGTGAACGGCATGGAGGGCGTTGACGTGGAGGACGCGAGGCGGAAGGCAAGCGACCAGAGCGGCAAGGGAGAGATCAAGAAGGGCAGCAAGGCATGGATCGTCAAGAAGAAGGAACAGATGGAGAGGAAGGGAAAGATCGTCAAGGCTACGTCAAAGTACACTGGTCGCAAGCGCAATATCCGGTTCTGAAGAGGGCTCAGGGGCGGATGGTTTATTGCGGATGACGCATGGCATGGCGTTTTGGGTTATAGGAAAAGTTGCTTTTTAAGAGATCGAATGCGAATCAGATACCCTCGGTCAAACAGGCGAATTCGTCAAAGTGCTTTTTCCCGTTGTCTTCTGCAGATTGGACGACCACGAAAGAGTCTAGATGCATCAATGTTTTTGAGTACAGCCCCCACCAAAACCTAGTGACACTAAAGACTTTCGTCTGCCGGAGGCCGACAAGATATGCATCCCAACCCCCGCGCCTCTCAACGTTTTCTAGCGAAGGGAGGAGGTATCGAGGCCTCAACGCTCAGCAGCAAGAGTCCAGCGCTTTTGCCGTGGTCATGTGCTTCCAAACGTTGTATCCATTATCTTCGGCGATCCCCACCCAACGATCAGTTACCTTGTTCCCCCGCTACATCGACTCAAGATCCTACAATGAAGCTGAAGATACTTGTCATAACTTTGGCAGCAGGGAGGCTGGCTGTAGCTGATACGTTTTCTCAAAATGCGGCACTCCACGACAAGGAGCCCATCATCACCAAATACGCCAACTGTCAGATCAACTGCGTGACGGCCGTCTTCGTTTGCTACGCTGCTGCAGAGAAGGGATGGGTCACAAAATGCTACGGCGCGCCGCCAAAGATCAAGGCATGCGACCAGTCGTTCAAAGAGTGTCAGTCTGTATGTACTGCTCCCATTCGTTTTGAATCCAAATATTGGACAAAGGAAGGTATGGTATAGTCAACTTCGGAAACGCTCGAGACTAGTAATTCTGATATCAGTTTCCATAGATGCTCGTGCAGTCTGTAGCCGCCTCCATAATTGGTGTGAGGGCGGGGTTACCGATGAGCTATGAAATTGCGTTGTCGCCGAACTTCTTTGTCCAAGGCGCATCGAAACGTCTGGAAGTCAACCGCAGGTCATTTTGTAGAAACGAGAGGAATGAGAGAAATGATCAAGTTTCTGTTCGCCTCAGACTGATTGGATGAATAAAAGCTTCAAAGTGCTCCACTGATGTTTCGGCCCAATCTCGTAACGTCTGGTTCTTTGTCACCCGCATGTTGGTCCTTCTTTCCAGCTACCGTAAGTTGTATGGGTGATGGAGGTCTGCGGAAGCCATCAAGTAAACATATTCAAATGCTTTGAGGATGTACAAACTTAAGAACCCAATTCATTCGCCGCTTTGCTCACTGTAAACCGCTCACTACTCATTACACACCAAACACCACAAAACACACACTACAAAACACACACCAGACACCGTCCGCCGTCACAAGCAAACCCATCACAACCACCAATCAGCAAGGCCTCTTCTACAACCCAGACTCATCTATCAGTATGAAATTCTCCGCAGTCACCATTCCCTCGTTCCTCATTCTGGCCCCGGTTGCCGTCTTGGCTGTTTCTTCTCGAGCTGCTGCTCAATTTGCATATGAAGACTGTTGGAATGGTTGTAAGGCTGCACTGGGCGCATGCTCCTGCGTCGCTGATCAGTTTGCAGTCATGAGCCCATTTGTTGCAAGCCACGTCATGCTCAAAGGCGTCGACGCATATGTGGCCTGTGACGTTGACTGCCTTCAATCATTTTATGCGGCCTCCAACAATACAATTTGAATCAGAGCCATCATTTAATGATGAAGGAATGAATATCTTGTCGTCGAGAAGCCAGAGCTCGAATAGCGAGGTGGCTCTAGGGGGATATGGAAGATTGGCAATGCAGAATGTGGAATGGCTAGAGTACTGTAAAGACCAATTATTCCAAAGTTTCGTTGAATGATATTGTTGAAGACTTCATCACCTCATGTCTATGCAAATAGATTGTATGCCCCTTTTCGCCCGATCCCAGCTCCCGCAGAGAATATAGGTACGTTGAGAAATTGACAGTCTACTCGAATTAAGAACGCAAAGCGCATTGATTTGCAAGACGTCGACGATGACACA